TGCATGCAGAGCCACAAAGATAGATATTAAACCGGCTTCCAGGTTTCTCCCTTTCATTACTATGAAAGTCAGATGAAAATACCCTTACAAACACTACTCTCAGGGGCAAACTGAAAGCAGGATTTGTCTCCTGGAGACTACTCTATTAAACAAAAAAGTGCCCTCTCAATTACTCCAGAACCAGAGTGAAATTGTAACATAGTTGCAACCTGGACACTCTACCAGTTTGCTGGGGACTTCATTCACTGCTAAACAAGATAAGGATTACAGCATGGCTGTGGCAAACCTGGAACTAATAAAATATTCTCTGGGGCCTTTTTTTTTCTCTTTCTAACATATATTATGACAATTTAACATACTAAACCTTCGTGTTAGATTAGAGGAAATATCCAATGAATTAAATATATTAATTGACTTATTTGTATGGTTGTAAGAGTTAAATTTGTTTACATACTTTAATTTTTTAAGCTGATTTTAAAAACTCTCTGAAAAAGCCAGTTCTTTTCCAAACTTATTCCCAAACTAATTAACTCACTTGAATACAGATATATGAAAATTTTAATTTAAAGTCAGAGTTGGGTTTGTTTTCTCTAGTTCTTTAGGCTTGTAATGATTTTTAGTTGATCGGAGCAATTTGTGTCTTTCCTTTTCATGTAATGGTAAAACCATTAACCTAGTCCTTGGTGTGATACTTGAAAGCCTCAGTATAAGACGCACAGTATTTTATTTTTATTTATTTATTTACTTATTTTTGCGGTACATGGGCCTCTCACTGCTGTGGCCTCTCCCGTTGCGGAGCACAGGCTCCGGACGCGCAGGCTCAGAGGCCATGGCTCACGGGCCCAGCCGCTCCGCGGCATGTGGGATCTTCCTGGACCCGGGCACAAACCCGTGTCCCCTGCATCAGCAGGCGGACTCTCAACCACTGCGCCACCAGGGAAGCCCAAGATGCACAGTATTTTAAATGACTCTATTTTATAATAAGGTCTTTTCAATGTTTGAATAATTAAATATGCTTTACACTAAATGTTGCTGTCCTGTAACATACTGTGGCCTACCGTGAATGGTACAATAACTGTTCAGCGTACATACTGTATTTTCTACACAGGCTCATAATAGAAAATAGACAATCGTTTTCCAATAGCATTACATATAGCATGAAAATGAGTTTTTAAAACAGTGTTGACAATCCTAATTTAAATCAAATAGGTCATAATGATACTTCTTTAACAAGATTAGAATGGAGAGTAAGCTTCTATATCAAATTTTAAGAGTTACTCATTGCACTGTGTATCACGTTTATACGAGACAGACCATGCTCTAGTGCCTGGGGCGTAAGTCAGAGGATCAACTTCTATGAACTAAAGCTCTAGACATACCATTAACAGCATACTTTCTGTGGCTTTATCCTCTTATCTAACATAGGGGTATAAGTATATTGACCTGTCTCAGAGTATATTATTTTTTACAGTCTAATAAATTAAAATTATTTAAAAACAGTTAAGCAGTACAGGTCAAAATTTGTTTTCCTAGTAATGAATATTCTAATGCATGTAACTTTTTCAGACGTCAATTCTAACCTGCTTTCTTCTATAAGAGTTAGTTTATAATTGTTTTAACTTAATATTCACATAAAGACAGATTTCCTGTATCTCATTATAACTTTACTTAGCTTAATTTTCCCACTAGTGAGGCATCCTATTTATTTTTGAAATAGTAACAATTTCCAAATTACTTTTTAAAATGTTAATGATGATAAAAATTTAAATGAGCACTAATACCTTAGAAATACAACATTTTACATTATTATGCAATTGAAACTAAATTTGTGTATATATTTGCAATGAAGGGGGTCTCAATAATGCATTTTCTTAAATTAAAATGAACCCATTTGAGATTTCAAATGTTATATTTAATACAACTGGCTCTTTCTGCCCCCACTTAAAAACATACCACAATAACACTAACTGCAATCGATACTGTTACATAGCCCTAAAATTTACTTTTTTATTTCAAAACACTCAAACTACATATGTTTGAAGGTACCTATAACTTGGCATAGCCACTAAAAAAAATAAAACTCACAATGTATTCGTAGACAAAAACTACAACAGTATATTTTAATGCTTTTAAAAGTTATTCCATGTAATAATCAATATCGTTAAAATCACTCCCAATAAAATTTGTTTTTTTTCTTTTAATGATCCAGATCTAAAGTGAAATGATGAAATCGAAAAACAACTGTTCTTGTCAGAAGACAGGAAGAGAGTTTTTTCCCCTTCCCTTAAGGAAAACAAAGGATTCCTGAAAGCTTTGGCCTGATTTATTTTTCCAATTTTAAATACCTTAAGAGTAGCGGAACTGCTACTGGCATGGTAGTATTTCTAACAGTCAATAAATCTAAAATATTATGTGTGAATATTGGAATGAAGCCATTAAGAAGATTACAGCATGCAACACAGCAGAGGGTCCACAGGAAAAAAGAACTAGTAATTCAGGACAACTGTGACCACTGACCTTGGAACAGCCAAGACCACTGGTCAAGCTGACACGATAATAAAGTGCACATGCACAGAAAGCCATCTAGCCTGTAAGCATAATTTTAATGTTTTGGTGAATGATTTTAAAATGTCCCCATTTAAATATCAGTTAATTTATTAAGTTATCAAACAATACTAACTGTAATATTTTTCAGGCTTCAAGTATATTTTATTAATTCAAGTCACAGAAAAATTCAGTATGATCATTTGTGATTTTTAACAGGTCTCATTTAAAACATTTACAATTATAGCAAGTATGATGTGATACTTTATTGTATTTCCTACTATAAGAGATAGCTTTGGAAAACTGATGAAAAAGCTAAATTTATTAGAGCTGGGTTAAACGAACAATCACCTGAAACATTTTTAGAAAATGACTCTAACTTTAAAACATCTCATACTTTCTGTAGATAGTCCTAGCTCCACCTCAGGACTATTTCAGTTTATTCATTCTTTAAATTTGTCTAAGTCTGCACTCCTTAATTCCGAGCATATATTTAGTTATATCTACATTACCTTGCAGAGTTCCTTTTTATGAATATGTTTTTACTATTTCAGTTATGTTCAGATAACTGTTGCTTATAAATAAACAATGAGATGGTCTCTCTTGTCATTTATATATTTAGGCTTTTACATTTCATGAATATTGTTTAACTTCCTCACATATTTAAATAAATGTTTCAATATCAAACTAATTCTACTAGGAAAGTAGAGGTTCTCAATTTAAAAAGAATCACTCATCAAAAAATTACTATTAAAGATTGTTTTTCTCAAAGAAATAATCAGCTATCACTGGGGCTGACTATAAAAATTTTAATATAACACAAAAAAGCTGATTTCTTTTTCTTTTTTCTTCCTCTTTCTTATCCTTCCTCATTTAAAAAAAAGAAAAAACAATCCTTTCTTCTTAGGGAATTAATGGTAGGAACTACATGCACATAAGGAAAACATTCTTAAAAGCTAGGACTTTATTTTCATAATTATGCCCCTATCCAGTGAAGAATACTTTGATGGATTTCTAAATGAACAACTCCAATCCTTTCTAGCAGCTTCTGCAAAATCTTTATAATGAGGCAATCGAGTTATAATGAGCTAAAAAGATAATATAATTCTTCACTGGACTGGGTTTGGATTTGTTCATACATAGCATAAATTTTACTACAGTTAGATAAAGTAGTTCGATTTAATTTGCTTCAAGGTCAGCAAGTATTTTAGGTTATTTATGGGCATAAATAATCTGAGTTTGACTTTAAAGTCACATTTTCCCTATCACTAGCCATAAAAGCAATCAAGGCTAGTATTACTGTATTTTCTGAGTTTGAGATTTTTTTTATTCTTTTTTATTTTCAAGCTCCCTAACAGTGATTTCAAAGTACTTGCAGTATTACAGAAAAAAAATATATTTTAAAGGTTTTTTATTCCCGAATTTTAATATAGCTGAATAAACAATGGTTTTTTTTTTAAAGGCGAGTTATTTTAACTTCTGCATTTTTACCTTGTTTTTTTTTTTACCTTCTGCATTTTACCATAAAAATCTGCATTTTTACCCTGTTCTGAGGAATACGAAGGCCAGAAAATTGACTTTGGAGACTATTTAACACAAAGTACAGAATATATCCTATTATAAGCTGCAGACCCACACATGCACACACACACAAACCTCTGCAAGATCAAAGACCAGAAGAGAGCCGGCACTTAATTTATCAGCCTTTACAGACAAAAGACAGTTTTCGTCATTTCAAAAGGATCAGATGTCTTTTATGACAAACTGGGTTTGCAGTTTAATTTACAAATAGAATTCTAAGTAAGCAGTCTTTGCTCTGCCAGAGCAAATGACAAACAGTGTAGGTTTTCATTCTTGCAGCCCTCAGCAGGATAGAAAGGATTAAAATAAAACTGAAATAATTTAGAGAAAACAAATAAATGTTTCAGAAAGTTGAGGGAGATCAAAGCCAGAATTTTCTGACCCCAACTGTACAAGCATTTCTTATTATATTGACCAGTGCCATCAGATCATTAATTAAAAGGAAAAGCGCTGGCAGGTGGCAGGGAAGCAAAAGCCGATAATTGGCCCCCTTCTTCTTCTTGCCTTCAAAAACTCTCTCATTCTTTTGCAAGACATGCCACTAGGCAGACAGAAATGCCTACTTTGTAATATAATGATTAAGATGAGATGAAGAGACTTATGTTTAAAGAAACTCTGCCTAATGAATGCATCTAGCTTTTTAATTACGATCCTACTTTTACAATAAGGAATATGATATTGCATCTGACATCTCCTCAACTGCCAAAAGGTAAAAATACGAAAGACAGACTCTGCTTTGACTCCTCTCACACCACATGCTCATATTCAGCCCTTCTATTTCAGACAGAAAAATGGGAAAGTAACTCTTGGTGATTCAAGGGTCCAGGAGAAAACATATATACGCTTGTTCACCACAAAATATCCTCCAGACTTACCACGTCACTCGGTAGGCTGCTCAAGTCATTAAATGGTGATTCTAAAGTGTTTGTGTCAACATTTAACATAACCACATCCTCCAATGATTTATTTTTCACTCTCTGTTTAAAAAACACAATTGTAAACAAACATCTTAGTATATTTTCCTTCCAAAGTTATAATGAACTTAGATATGTAGAGAAAATTATCTTAATGCATTATCCTTAGGAAAAGAAAAAAGGAAAATTCTACATCATAAAAGAATATAAACAATTTTGCCTTATGAGAAAGTCTGTCTAAACCATTCAAAAAGAAAGATTAAAAATGCTTAAAATAGCATGTTTACTCATCTAAATATATTAATAGTTTGGAGACACTGAATGTAATTTAACTACCAAAGAGATACTACAACAAATACAAAATTGGCATGGCTATATTAAACTGTAAAAATTTATATCCTTTAAATTTTACCAATTGAATTTCAATCCTATGATACAGGAACATGTGGCCCGTTCTATAGCTATTTTTAGCCTAAATCATACTGCAGGGTTAACACAAAACAATAAATATGACTACTAAGTAGTAAAGTAAGTTTTAAATTAATAAATATTTTCTCTATATCTTCATGTAAATTTGGTATAAGTCGATGATGACAAGTGAAACTGAGTAAGAAGAAATGACAGAGAGCAGTAACATGGAATTTACTGTTAGTAATGTTTATCCCATGAATTTAATATAAAGGATCAAATTTAATAGTCTATCAGATTAACTATTTGACTTGTCATATTTGTTTGAAAGCTTAGTCAAATGGTCAAATTATCTCAATATATGCATAAATGATAGTAAATTAGAATTTATTAAATTTTTATCCTTAAAGGAAGAAAATATAGTTTATTTTTCTTATTTAAACTAATATGTCTACTTAAACAAATCATATAATTCTATTAGTCTTATCTAGATGATAGCAAATAATATTATTTCCTAATGAAAATAAGTAAGGTGTGCATTAATGAAATATATCCATCAACCCAGAATTCCCTAATTGCATAGGTCAACTAGCAATTGGTCAATTAATTTCAGTGCAGTAGTTTTAAAAGTGACATTCTAGAATAATAGCCATTTTTTCAGATTATTTAAATAGCTTAATATTAAATTGGCCAAGCCAATTTTTTAAGTTAGCCAAGACTGGAATTTCTGTGATCCACTTGGAATTTCTGTGATCCATTTAGGATTTCAAATCTCTGCGTATCAGGTAGAATGTTAAATTTGCTAGGAAAATGGTAGTCTAGAGTAGGGAATTTTTATGTGTTAGGATAGCCACAATGTCTATGTGGAATATGCATTCTCAAGGGGGCATGTGATTCTAAAACTCTATCCTGTAAAAGGCATTATAATTATTCTAAAGTAAGACTAAGAAAATGGCCATTTCTAAGAAAGTAACTTATAACAGTGATACTATTGTCAAAACATTTATAAATAAACTCATTTCCTTTCCATGTGCATACATATACGTAAAAAAGGCTTACATATATAAATACGTGGTTATCTACAAATCAACTATAGCATAACTACAAAAATAACCTATGAACAAAAACTATATTTATATTAATGGCATTTGTATGCAAAAAGTATGTCATAATTTTGATTTCCCTCTTCAATTCTAAGTTGCCCTTTTAACAGAAAATGTAAAGATAATCCAGAAACCTGATGTATTTTTCAAGGAATGAAATGAGTTCATCTAAATAGCATAGAGTAATGGTTATGTGACCCCCAAATGTTTGTAATGACGCTAACACTAAACTCTGAATAGCTGAGTCACTTTGCTGTGCACCTGAAACTATCACAACATTGTTAATCGGTTACACTCCAATATAAAATAAAAAGTTAAAAAAAAAAATCTCGGAAAAAAGGAAATTAGCATTAGTATGAAATGTATACCTTTTTCAAAGTTTCCCTTAGTTTTAAGAAGTCTAATAATAGCTGAATATTAAAATTTGTTAACGGGAACACTCATTAAGAATGGAAAATGGATTCATTTCAATAAATCAACAGACTGGGCCTCCCTAAAACGAGAACAATTCTACAAAGGCAAAAAAGGGGGGAGAAGATAGCATGTAATTTAAATCTTTAAAAAAAAATTCTTATTAATGTATTTTCTCTGTTATTTCCCTCCAAATCAGGCTTTAGCCATTTTTTTCTAAACAGGAGTGGAAAGTCATATGGCATATAAAACAGCACCACTTTCTCTGTCCCATATTTTTACGTCTCATAAAATTCATCAACTTGTTTGGATGGGGAAAGAGTAAGAAAATGTGAGAAAACAATGTGCTTTTTCTTCAAAAATAAGAAAATGATATTAGGACACAGACAAATCTTATTGAGAACAACAGCAGATGCTGAACTGGCGAGACTCCTGGCATCCTCCACACGCCATCCTCCTTCCAGGTGATGCCAGCACACCTGCACACTCTTCACACGGAGCAAGGGAAGGGACACGGTGGAAGTAGCCACACGATACTGTGAAACTGGGCCAACACTTTACCTAGAATCACTTGTGCATTAAAACAAATAATATAACCCTCACATCTGTAGCCTGTACTGACTTATTCCCAATCACAGGCCTTAGTTTGCTTTGACTTCATCCCTAAAGTCTAGTTTTCAGGGAGAACAAAATGCCCTTGTCCTTTATTTTAGAAGCGAATTTACTTTTTAAAGAGAGATTTCTAGTCATCTTTTACTTATGATCGCATAAAAATAATTTTTAAAAAAGATTTAGAAAGACATTAATTTCATGTCTTTGAACAATTATGTTTAAAAGTCTTTGTAAAACTGATAAAAAGTGTTGAAACTGTCTTGACTGAGAGAAGAGAATATTTTGATTCTTCCTCCACAAAAAATTAGTTGTACTTGCAGCCAAACAAATGTGAAAGATTATTCAGTTCTGTCTCATATATAAAATATGTAAATATATATTTATATTTTAATTATAATACCATTTATATAAAATAAAAAAGCACAAAAGATCAGAATTTTAGTGAAAATAATCTGTGTAATAATGTCATCATAAAAATAGAAACATAGGATCTGTATCACCTGGTAAAAGATTAAGAAGAAAGTTACTAAATGGTACCCAACTGGTTGAAAAACATTCTTAAAGTTCCTATTATAGTTTCTCATTCACTATTAAACCAAATAAAACTGACTATTAAGACAGTTTGATAAGTCCAGAGTATAAAAGGCACAGAGATTTCAGCCGATCTAATCATGGCTTTACACAGTCTCATTTAATAAGAGCCAATTTAAAGTTAGAAAGGACTGCTTCTCCAAGACAATACTCTAAGGAGTAAAAAATTCTTAAATTTGCTCCTTTAAAAAAGGACTGATTTTCTCTACAGGTGTACAATAAACATGTGATAAACTGAATTGAATATTTAAAGCATGTACTCCTTTCTACAATATTTTGGAAAAGCTGAATCATTTGTTTTAAAAGTTGGTCTAGAATCATTATGTAAAAATAATAACATCAACAGGTACAATCAACCACTTTAAATATTTTTCATCTGTATAAATAAATGTATTATAAAAATGACATATTCTATTAGGTACATTACATAAGAAGAGATACGTGCACTAACATCAAAATCAAATTTGATGACTTTTTTTGAAACCATACCAACCAACCATGGTTAGATTTTGCAAAAAGTCAAACTACTGATGAATAAAATTCCAGTCATATATTCCACACTCTAATAACAGATTAAATACCTATTTATTCATGTTTTATCTTATACAATTTGTCCTTTCAATGCAAGTACCTTGGGCTGTAAGAAGTTATTTTCTAAAAATTGACAAAATATAGAGTCATAATGTTATCCAACCCAGACTTCAAAATTAAAAAGGAATTAAACCTACTAAAAATTCATTAAAATGTATTCTTTATTAATGGTTAAAGCACGACTCTCTCCACAAAGGATGCTCAGGCATTTTAAAATAATCACCAGGCTCTTCCTTGATCAGCAAAGTGATGACTGATGGTATATACAATGACAACAACTAATCAGAAAACCAAATCTAACTCATTAAAGTTGCTTATTAGAAACTGGGTTAAAGTACAATATGAACAACCAGCGAGAAAAGAAATATATTTGAAAAAATCAGCCGGCATAATGATGCCATGCAACTGACCCAAGTCTTTTGTTTACTTTTTTAGAAGCTAATCTTATAAGAAGTCTTCTCTGGAAATCTCACTGATTTGAAGCTCAAGGTGTTTAAAGCTCAAGGTTTTTCACTACAGTGATAACAAGTGACAAAAGTCATTTTCGAATGACAGTGCAAAAAAAAAAAAACAAACCAAACTACATTTTAAGTCCCAATAGGACTGAAATTAAAGTCTTACAAAGTTATATTCTAATTTAAAAGTTCATGATTAGTGTATTAAAACACATTTTGAAAAACACCGGTACACTGAATTATAGTGAAGTTTGCAAAATAAAAACTTTCCCTTTATGACACATAATTACATGAATTCTCACTTTCAAAATACAGAAATATTTCTTCTGAAAGAGAAATAGATATAAAAGATCTCAAGTTCCATAAAGAAAGTGGTTCATCAAAGACTAAGGTTTTTAGTATTTAAAACTTACCATACGACTTCAACCAAATTGAACCTACTTTCAATGGGTCTCGTACCACTGAAGATGGTCATTTTGCATACTAATTAAAATAAAGTTATTTTAACACTACCTTTTTGAAAATGATCATGTAAGTACACTCTAAATATGCAACTAGTCACTTCTTTGTACTATTCAATTGACATTCTTTCAAAACACACCTGTTTTAAATTAATTCATAAAAATAATAGTTATCACAATCTCATGTCTGAAAGATACTCACCTCTATGAGGCTGGAGTGTATTCCGATCAGGTATGGCATTGGGGCACTAAATTAAAAATATATATGTATGTGTTCATATAGCTCATTAAAACTGAAACAATAAGTAATTCAGAATGCTTTAAAAAATAAATTTATTAAATGTATAGTTCTAACAGTACATCATAGATATTTAAAATTATTCAGTATAGAAAACTCAAATATAATCTTAGAGGCCATTAATATATTCAAATTAAGGTTGATTTATATAAAATCACGAAATCATTTATAATTAAAAGTTATAATGTTTAAAAAACAAGAATATTAGGGTCTAGGCCATAGTCTGAGATGAATCTTTTCTGTATACTTCCCATCAAATATATCCTAAATAATCATCAAATTTATTCACATTTCTTTGTACAGTTTTTTTATTCAGTTAGATTCTTATATGATTTTCTTAATATATATTCATTGTTTCACACCTACTATTTAGTCACCCAAATTTTTGAGTCAGTCACAATATATTTACTGAGACCTACTATGTGCCAGGCACGGTTTGGGAACTAGAGGTGCAAAGATAAATGATTTCCTCCCCCACTGTTACCATTCTATTTCTGTGTTATCTTTCCACTCATGTATCTTGTCTATTATTTAAACTCTGTACATTCTTATTTATCCCACTTTTAATTGTAATAATAATATAATTTTAATAAATTTTAAAATATTCAGGTAAGTTTAAGAATTCTATTGATTAATTCAACACAATATGTGGAGCATACTCAGGTGCCAGTACCTGGCATAGGGGTTAGGGTACAATAATGAACAATATAGACAGAATATATTCCCTTCTGGAGCTTATACTCTGGCAGAGAATACAGACATTAAATAATTTTTGTAATATACAAATTAAGACTTACTAGCAATTTCAAAAATATTTCTCATGAAATATAGGGCGGAAATTATTCAACTTGACATTTCAAAATTAAAATGTTACTTAACAAGAAAACATGAACAATGTCTACAAATGTGACAGAAGATATGCAAATAAATAGCTATTTAAAAATAAAATATTTTTGGCATTTCTTTTATATACATCTTTGTGTTATATTTAATGCAAACCTTTTCTGTTAATGAAAACAGATAACCTTCTTTTTCAAAGAATTTGCATAATTTTCCAAACATCCCCGTCATTATTAGAACAGAGCTGTCCAAACTCCTGCATGTCCACTTTGCTACTGAGAATCAGTAACAGATAAAAGAGGCACCTTGGTAGATCCACAGTTTTCAAAGTAACCTTAAACAGTTCCTAATTTATTTAAGGATGGCTAGCCACTAACTTCTATATCCAGGATTCACAAAAAATAAAAACGGTTCAAGTTCTTCTTCCAATCCTTATTAGCCTGTTCCTTAAGTCATACTGTACTAGATTCTAATTCCCAGTTGTCTTTGTCTTCTACAGCTTTGTTCCTTCCTATTTTTTTTTATTTTTATGCAGCAGACCATCTGGAATTGATCTGATATTCTGGATATTTCATTTGACTGAAAGTTAAGAACTATTTATAGGCCTTGATATCCCTAGGATCTAACATATTTTCTGCCTTCAAAAGGAAACAGAAGGAATAAATGTGGACTCTTCCACTTTTGCTTAAATAAAAGGAGGCTAGTTGCTTCCCCAGTTCAAGTTCTCATCTCTGGAATTCGTTCTGTGACTCCATAGACGATATAAAATATGTGCCACTAACTCCTCTGGGCTCCCATGACTGGGTTCCGGCAACTTTCACAAAACAGGGTGGGCAACTCCCAAGATCTTAAATATGTCAAGCCTTCTCCACACCCAAAATAGTACAAATTCATTAAAGTTACTGTGCAATTTTCCAATTTGCCCCAGGCTAGGTTACCTGACCAACAAGATTCATAATATAGAAAGATTCATAATATCTCAAACCTCAAAGCACGTTTTAATACAATGAGTGTTAATCAAAACACTTAAGACTTCTACAAATAATTATTACATCCATTTTACATACGTTGAAGGTACACTGAGTGGATCAGATTTCAAACAATCAAGAGCCAAAACTAATAACTACCAACTGAAGTCCTACGAAATACACTAAGGTAACACTTTTAAAACTTCATGAAAGCTAGTCACCTCTTGAAACATAAACAATAAATTTACAGAAACTGTTAAACTAGAATAAAAATCCAATAAAGAATTCCTATGCAGAACTTAATAATAAAGTAAACCAAAACTTTTTCTATGGGATCACTGGGTATCTCTACGTGTTTTTACTTCATTAATTTCTACAAAATCTAAAATATAAACATGTTAGACTGCAAACATTATTAACTAGAGCATACTTTCCTAAAATAAACATGATGTTTTTTCAGAATATAGATTTAACTGAATAGTTATTTCATTGTCATGAAAATTGGATTGTATACATCCTAATATTAAGTCAGCCAAGTCTCATGAAAAGTAATTTTGCTACCCTAGCTGAAATCTCCTAATGAGACAGAGTGTTAATAAGTCAGGAAGAGACCCTTGGCAACACAGATGTTTTATCAGCTATGTGCAAAACTATCCTAGATCTTTCTGTCAATGGAATTATTTTGCAAAGATAAGATACAGAAGGCTCTATTATGACTGCTGCTTCTTTTCGGTAGCAACTAATCTTTGCTGAAAAATAATTACTATGTAATAGCTTTTTTTCTTTTTAGGTTTTCTCATGGAGGCCACCCATGGGGTAGACTGTAACAGCAGTATATTAACTTAGGGTAGTCTAAACAACATAATTTTCCATTTATGTTTTTAAAACACTATTCTCTTAGGAGCTAAATCTTCTCTTTTCATAGAATGAAGAATCAGATAGATAGCCTAAATAAAAAGGTGACAACCATTCTCGAACAAATAGATGATTATACTTTTACTGGTACTGGAATCATACTACCTCCGAGGTGTTTAAGGGCTCAGAAGGTTAAGCGTGTCTGGCAACATTACTTTAGACTTGCTATATTAAAGTACTTTCCCTTTGTTGTTTTGTTTTGCTTTGTTTTTACAGTATCAATACCTAACCTGAGATCCACCCTCTTAGCAAATTTTTAGGTCTACAATAGAGTATTGGTTAAGTAAAGGCACAACGTTAAACAGATCTCTAAACCTTAATCATCTTGAATAACTGAAACTTTATACCTGTTAAATAGAAACTCCCCATTTCCCCCTTATACTGGTAGATTAAGGGGAAAACAAAGATGGCGTCACTTCTTCCCAGTAGCCTTCCCTACCCTAGCAGATAGGTGGGCACTTCCTCCTAGGTGTTCTGCTCAGCGTTCTTTTATACGCCTCAGACCCAAACCCTAGAGCATCACAGTATTCCTCTGTGCTCATCATGTGCGTGTGTGTACGTGTGCACAAACGTGGGAATTTCTTCCTATCTGGGGATCCAAGAGGGCAGGAGCTACGTCTTACTCATTACATTACATACTCGCAGCCTGGCAAACACATGTTTACTAAACGTCTGGCGTACAAATGGATGAATGAATGAGCCGGCAAATTAGCAAGCCTTCGTCAGCCGACCAAGATGCGCTATTCATCCACGGTCACAAGATGGCATCGTGGCCCTCCAAGTCTGTGCCACACCGGAGACACACTTCCAGGAGTCAGGACTGCCTCAGGACTGGGAAAGTCCAATCACCTTGAAGAGCTGGCAAAATACACATCTACCCCATCACATCTTCCTGGTGCTATTTTTGGAGTGGAATATAAAATTTTCTTTAAAAAAACCCCATGAGATTGAAGGGATAATCTCTAATATTTTTCTCCCTTTTGCATATAGGATCATTTGCAAAGATGTAAAGGGAAGAAAACCACTTTCCCTAGGGAACAGTTTAGTCCATGGAATTTTCTGACAATGAAAGAGAGCTGGAGTCATAGACAGCTATTTTCGGGGGGAAAAAAAGTATATGATACTGCCCACTTCCTATGTCAGAAGCTGAGCCTATCACTGTGACCTTAAGGTTCAGGAACTCTCAGATAACTCCTTGTTTGACTATCACTGCTCTACTCTCTGGGCCAGGGAAGTGCCTGGCATGGCGGCTGTTAGAACTTGTCCTAAAGTGGCTATTTCAGAGGTTAGAAACTAGTAAGACTGAAACAAGCTTCCTTCATCACAGTGGAAGCAGCAGAAAAAGGACTTGATGGCAGGGTTAGAAAGTATCAGGAAGACATATCTGGAAAGAGGTAGCAATAGTTTCTAAATAACAATATTTTAGAAAGTCCTAAGTGTGTAATCATCACAGAGAACTGAACTTAAAGGGATGTTACCTCCTAAGATTTCAGAACATTTTTATAGAAAAATTTAAATGGCACTAATATTACATATGATAAAATATAATTCTAAACCTCACAAAGTGTTGGTTCTTGAACCACTACTTTAATATAGATTTTAAAGAATCATACATCAATATATTTTCAAATACTTTTGTCAATATTATTTAAAATAAGTTTTAATTACTGAATACTATGTGGAAAGATCTACTACACATGTTGACATGAAAGAATTGAGGTTCCTGCTTTCAAGGATGCTAATCTATTCTAGGTATACTGGTCAGAGAAGAACACTCTAAAGTGAATACCAAGAGAGCTATTTCTAGATCCAGCTTTACTCGCAGATTCGTGTGTGTGGTGCTTCACAGTGTAATTAAACCACACACCTACAGTCTCCTGCCCCACTGTTTCTCCCTCCCAGCGCCCAAAGTGCAGAATGGCAGTGGGAGGTCACTGGAAACGTGCTGCCCAGCATTATCAATACTATTACCCTGCTGTGGAAACACACAATTCACTGGTATAATCAATATGTGGCCAAAGGTACGTACTCTCGTTAAAAATCATTTGTCCTGAAGAAGGCTAGTCTTGAAAACGTCAATGTTATGAACTCAGATCATTTTAACCCTTAAACACTTTAAGTGATCTGCTTTTCATGAAATCAGAAAGTTAAATAAATAACTACTTTGATTCTAAAAGAGCTTTGTTTTTTAATAACATTAGTTGTGATATAAATGAACACATTATGGTCAAAATCAGTTCCTTCTTTCTGTGTGTGTGTGTGTACGTGCGCGCGCACATGCATGGTTTAGAGTAAAAATGTCATCTGGTTTCTTAAGAACTGAGCTACGCCTGCAGAAGATGATTACCCTACAGCCCCGAGGAAGATCCCAAGGCTGCTGTTTGGGAGTCTAATTCTTCCCTAACCTCCAGGAGGAGGGGACAGTTGAAATCAGACTGGGTGAGATCACTGGCAGTTGTGTCTGTGATGCCAAGAAACTTTCCAGAATTGCCCCCGACACTTGTCAACACTGATTTTCACAGTGGCTCAAGGCTGAGGCTTCGATAACCAGGAACTCAGGGAACCCCTGCATTAGAGGCAACCCCTCTGCCGGTATCTGGTACTGGATGTGCTACTGAGGGAAGAGGCGTGCAGGAAAGTGTGTCCTGAGGGGGAGGTAACGAGCGTGTGCTCCGAGAGAGGCAACCTGGTGTCTGAAAGACTCTGCGGACAAATGCTGGCATCTGGGATGTGGTGCTCTCACTGACACTACAACTTCTGTGAAATGCTCCTAACCACCGCGAAGACCGGATCGGCTTCTATTTATGCATTTAGTTGTCTAGATGATTATAGAGGAAACTCACAAAATCTAAAGAACTTCATGTTTGCCAAGTATAAATTTTTGCTACCTTTGGAGAGAACTACTCTTCCCTTCATAAAACCACCTTTTAATACTTGTTACTCATCTCCACGTCACGTTTCAGGGATCTCATTCATGTATATACACACATGTACTCCAAGCTCACTGGATCTACACATGAATCGCTCTTTCTAACCCTAACACCTGGGCTGCCAGGGGTCCGGCAGAGCCAGCTTACCAGCAGTAGTCCAGCAGATGAGGAGGGAGCGCTGGGATGTAGATGTGCTGCCAGTACATCGGGTAGAGCAGGGCGACCGATCCATGGAGACAGGCGGTTAACTAGAATTTGTGAAAGGAAAACAGCAGTAAGCGGCCGCTGACCTTCCAAACAGAGAGACATGCTCAAGTTATCAAAGACCGAAGACACTCATAAAACAATTTACTTAACGACCTGAATCACATTATCTTGACCAAGTCTGCCTGCAAAAAGCCTCATGTTTCAGAAGGCCCTCTGAAAAACACATAAGCAGCAAAGTAGCTTCTTGGGCATCTTATGTGGACGGTTATAACTTCCTGAAAATATAGTGTTTGGGGGCAAAACTTAGAACATATAAAAGGAAACCTGAAAAATTAGGCGAGCATCTTGGAAGGAACTGTAGGAAATTACAGTGTGTGCCGCCCAGGTTGCACTCACTCAGATTAATACACCACGATGCAATATGGGAAGGAGGAGAGGCTGAAAGCTCCTGGGGGATATCATTAGGGCAAATTGCCAAAGAATGAAACATGAGCCAGTCAGGAGAGTCTGGAAGCTGCAGTATCACCAGGGGACTCAACGTTCGACAGTTGGAGCTTCAGCAACGTGTGAACCGCGGGTGACGGTATCAGGAGACTCTGCTCACTGACACGGAGAATGTCACTATTGACCAGCGAGCTGCCCAAGCTTGACAGCTGTACCACAGGAAGCCAAGGATATCATAATTTCATATTTAAACTGTTCATTTCAGATTAACATCGTGTTTCCTAGCTTTATATCACAACAGCTGCAAATACACTGATGCTATTTTAAAGGTAATTGCCATTTTAATTGTTTTGTTTTGGCAAGCGGCTAATTAAATATTTTTTAATGCTTAGCAAAGGGATATCGCTTTTTTTTTTCCTCCCTCCTACTGACCCTCATCAGAATTCTTTCTCTGACTTCGTTTACATTTTAAATTATATTTCTGTATGTGTTGAGTCATTTCTTTAGCATTTAAAGCAATAATTAAATCAGCATTCTTCATTTTAAAGGTTTGCTATAGTCTGCATTTTCAAGACATTTACTGAATAAGTCATTTTATTTAACTTGAAAATCAGAATTAAAAAACAAAACCCTCTGAAAATGCACCACAAAATTTCTATAAACCATTATTTCTATTTTATTATACAAAGAAATTAAAATTTATACATAGTAATCAAATTAATTCAAAAGGATAAATGTAAACAAAGTAACTCAATCTTAACAGCAACATTTGTCTATATTTAAGTGTAAAATAGTTCCACTAGATTTTTTAAAAGTCAGTTGAAATAATCTAATCTGAACCAAAAACATAAAAATTTTGACTAAAAGTACTTTCATCTTCGTCATATGTATTATATTTCTTTTCCAGTTAAGATTTTTAATTAATTTTATACGGCAAAAAAATTTATTTGTTCCATTTAGAATGCTATCATTTAAGGATTTTATTACTTTGCACTTCGAAGTTTTAATATTTTATCTATACTATTCCTTCAATAAATATTATTTTTTAAATTCCTTAATTAGAGCATACAGTATACCACTAGGAGGCATTCAGATACTTCTATGTAACAATTACGGACCAGATTTATTTCTCTCACATATTTGAACTAGAGGGAAATGAAAATGGGGTTGATCTCAGTTGTGTCAATTCTTAGAGAGCTTGCATGTGCTCGCTGGTTGTAAATGAGGTAACTTTAAATGCTTCAGTGTAACTTGATGGGCTAAAAGCACTTATGTAGCTGTGAAAGGCAGTTAATTTACTCAATTTCTCCATCTGCAGATAGATGGCTTTTAAAAGAGCTCATTTAAAACCGTTTTAAAAAGGAAAGTATTCTTTCTTATTGTTGAGAAAATAATTAACAGTGTAACAAGAGGGAAAAAATGCATTCTCAAAATGAGGAATGATAATAATAGTAACTTATTTTACTAGGCACACCCAGAGTCCAAAGCACTCTATTAAATGCTACAGCTGTTTCCCTATGCCCTTAATGGTTATCCTTAAGTGAAGTTATGAATTTCTCACTAATAAGGCACAATATCATCTGATGAATTTGACTGGTTTCTTAGAGGATGATTTCTGCAACGAGAAGCAAAGTCACAAACTTTCTGCAAAGGCCAGCATTCAGCAGAGGGTCATGCCAGCTGATCAAGATCTACCAGGAAAGAAGGAAGCTCTACAGGATTCGTTAGCTTCTTAGATGCAGGGGATCAGTGACAGGGAGAGGTAAAAATACTACCCATCCCACATCCCTGCCCGGCCCCAAACCTCAGTTTCTGGCCTAAGCGACCAGGATGAATTATTTAAAGAAATATAACAAAAGTGTCAGGTTCAGGTGGGACTGTAAGGAATGTGCTCTCACAAATATTGATTCTGTTAACTATGAGACATCCAAGTGGAGATTTCCAAAGAAGGCAGAAACCTACCAAAGAAGATCTCCCTTACACACCTAGCATCATGTAATAACTATGTGATTTAAAAAATAGAGAAGATACTATTACAGCATATACTTTGTAGAGGAGATAGTAAAGTTGTAAGTAAAAAAAAAAATACAATTAAGAAAAAATAAATTTACTAGGAAATTAAACAGTTATATGCAAGTTGTATAAGGTAAGAACAATGAAGTACATCGTGGACAAAAGTTAGGGACTGGCCACTAAGAGGCTGTGCCACTCTGGCACACCTGCAAATATAACCAGATCCCAGTTTCCCAATCTTTAAAATAAGAAATATATGCTAGATGATCTATAAACCCCGTCTCTGAGAGATCTAACATTCTCTACTCTTGGATCAGATCAATTCTAACATTTTGTATTTTTAGTAATAATTAAGAATTGTTTTTTCCATACGGGTGGTTAACAGAACATTTTAACTAGACTATAATTCAGATCCACCTTCTAAATCTATCTAAACATAATCTCTAAAAGCTTTAAAGCACATTAGGTAACTGTGAAATTGGAGACATTATAATAATTTACTTGCTTAATTCAACAGAGTTTTTGAGTACCTGCCATGTACCATCATAAATCTCTACTAAGCAATAGGGACACAGAACAAGTTACATATCAGTGGGGAAAGCAAACAATAAACAAGTGAAACACATATTATGTCAGAGGTAAATTTTATGAAGAAACCTAAAGCAGGGTAAGAGCAGAAGGGCTATTCTAGACAGGAGCATAGGGACAAACTCTGATGTGGCCACATCTGCACTGAGACCTGACTGAAATATGGGAGCCACGTATGGTGCACTTGGGGAGAAGGGCATTCAGGAGTCCTGAGGTGGGAGCAGGCTTGGCACCTTCTTGGAGTAGTAGGGGGTCGGCTGATTAGATTAAACGGGAGAACAGCACGAGTTGAGGTCAGAGAGGAAGCAAGGTCGGAACTGAAGAGCCTCCTGGGACACAGCAAAGACGCCAGATTTCATTCTGGATAAGATCTGTCCACACCTCTGAACACAGTGCTAACTGTCACAACAAATCATTTACCTAGAACATTTCCAGAACTTTGCAAATTAAGGAAAATAAACAACATACTTTAGAAGTTTGCTTTGCAGAATCAAGTTCTATAAAGAAATGAGATCAGATGGAGTATAGTCTATAAAAATACTGAATCACTATGTTGTACACCTGAAACTAGTATAATATTATAAATCAACTACATGTCAATTAAAAAAAAAGAAATGAGATCAATTTATAAGCCAAGTAAGAAGGAAAAACTTCTTACTTTTAGGTTATTTATGAAATATTGAATCTTTAAGCTTAAAGGGAAATGCTAATCATATTTCTTTGGATCAGAATTACCCAAAATTCTATGATAGGTTCATGATAGGGCTAGAACCCCACGGCGCTCTTCTGACATTCTGTCAGCTGTTTTTCTAACACCACATAAGCTGTTCTTCATGAAAGCAGGGGAGAGGAGAGAAGAAGATTCGGTGTTTGGGTTAGAACATGTTCCTGGCATAACATCCTTGAAACTGAAGGACTTATACATTGCTATCATTGAATAAAAATGAAGTGTACTAAATAAAGCAAAAAATGTACCAAATAAAGGTTAAAGAAAAAAAATCTTCGTTAAATGGCATAGGAATATTTAAACGCACATATAATTTCACAGAGCACACTCAATATATTGAACTGATTCAGACCCAAAGCGTGGACTAACACAAAATAAAATCACTGGGATATTTATTTCCCATATAGTACAACTGTAAAATAAGTACATATGAAAACCATGTGAAAGAGACAAGAACTGTGAAATCAGAGGGAGAAACCTGACAACAGAGGTTGGCAACAGTGAGCTTAGTGGTGGAATAAAGGCACCTAGAGCTTCCCGTTCTGGCCACAGGTCTAAGGGAGCTGCTCTCACGGACAACAGTTACAAGAGCAAACGTTTATAGGATGCTAGCTCTGTGCCAGGCACTATTCTCAGCACTTGACATACTCAGATTTAATGCTACAACCACCTTATGAAACAGGCAGTATTATCACTGCTCCCATTTTACAGATCAGGACACTGTGGCAAAGTTACACCAATTGCCTGAGATCACACAACTGGCAAGTGGCAAATCCAGGAGACCAACGCCAGCAGGCTCCAGAGTACAAAAACCAGTATATTAACCTGCCTTTTGATATACAAAGATTCAAAATTCCCATTCATTGTAAGGCTTTGAATAATATATACTGGCTGAAAATATTTTATCCTAATTATATAGTGGAGAATGAGCCTCTGACTGAACAGACAGACAAGAACAGTTGACCTTTAAATGAAAAATTCAGGATCTAGGATAGAGATGCAATTTACAAAACTTTCCCAGGCATCACAGTCTGCGCCTTCAGCAGGAAACCAGGAGAGCAGATTCTCTGAAAAATGTTACAAAGATAAGATACTTGATAAAAATTCTACCAGTTATCATCTCAATCTGCATCTGCGAGTATATTTAGTTGGAAGCCAAACCAAAGTTCTTTCCCTTTGTGATATGGAATCTCACTTATACCTTGTTCTTAAACTATATATTTACTGAGGAGATCAGCCTACTAATACAACTAAGCAATGTTTTAAGCA